AGTGGGCCATGGACACCGAGCAACAGTGGTTCCCCATCAACAGTACCGCCAACTTGGCCAACCAAATGGTCAGGCACAAGTGGTACTGTAACGGGCTCATCTTCCCAAACTGCCAGCGAAAGCACAGGGCCAACCAACTCTACAGAGACACCCAGCACAACAACCGCCCCCCAAACCCCCAGCAACACCAACGACAACAACCGAGAGTGGGCCATGGACACCGAGCAACAGTGGTTCCCCATCAACAGCACCACCCACTATATCATCTGAAGGGCCAGGCGCTAATAGTTCAGTGACGGGTTCATCTTCCCAAACGGCCAGCCAAAGCACACGGCCCCCCAAACCCCCAGCAACACCAACGACAACAACCGAGAGTGGGCCATGGACACCGAGCAACAGTGGTTCCCCATCAACAGTACCGCCAACTTGGCCAACCAAATGGTCAGGCACAAGTGGTACTGTAACGGGCTCATCTTCCCAAACTGCCAGCGAAAGCACAGGGCCAACCAACTCTACAGAGACACCCAGCACAACAACCGAGAGTGGACCATGGACACCTAGCAGCAGTGGATCCTCATCAACTGCATCTCCCTCTAGACCGACTAAATGGCCTGGCACTGGTGGTACTACGATAAGCTCTTCTTCTCAGTCTGCTGCTGGCAGTGCACAACCATCTGCCTCCACCAGTAGTGTTGTGAGTACCACTGTCATTGGATCATGGACTCCAGTCGACAATGGTCCGTCGTCTCCTGCGGCATCTATTGGACTAACAGATTGGCCTGGAGCAGGTGAAATTGTAACTCAGTCTCCATCGCATCCTGCGGGGGGGTATACGCCATCTTCGATCTCTAGCAATGCTGCTTCTACGGGTGAAGTCGTTAGGACCACTGTAATAGGTTCATGGACTCCAATCGACAATGGACAATCATCTGTTGCCCCGCCTGGTAGTGATACGGAATCGTCAGTCACAGATGAAAATGGCGGACCTTCTACGACTGATACCTCGCGTTGGCCTCTTGCTAGCTCTACCGATTCAACTGCCAATTCCTCACGTCCAAGACGGGACACATCATCAGAACCCTCTAATGGATGGACCCAAAGTTCGGTAACTATAGGACGTTGGTCTGACGCTCCCGGTAGTAATACTGAATCATCTTCGTCAACTAGCAACGTTAATTGGTCTTCTGGAACGACCGCTCACGATGTGGACAATACGACGTTGAATAGTACTGAAGGAATAACCACTGTTCCTCCGTCGAAAATGGAAAATATTATTATTTCTGGCAACATAGAGATCATTATCGACAACAATGGTAATAGAAGCTCTGGTAATAGAGGTTCCATATCGGAATCCGGAGCTTTTAATTTAACGGGTTTACATGTTAACGGATCTTCAGTTTTAATTGACGGAGAGTTAGTTAGAACAAATGGTTCGAGTTCTAAAGAAGTTGTTGGCGTGGAGAACATTCATGTGTCTGGAAATATTGGGATTAATGTTGAGGGACATAATTTGACCGGTGTTTATAATTCTACTGATCAATTAGCGTCGAGTAATAGCACTTCTGATGGGGAGAACATTGTTAATATTTCAGGAGATAATGTAAATAATATGGAAGCAGTTACGACAGAAAATTCTGGTACCAGCTCGCGTGATTCATTACCTACTCTTGAGTCAAAGGTAAACGATTCTCAATTAATTTCCGACAGTCATAATGTAGTTATTGATACCAACACGCAGGCGGTAACAGCGGGGAAAAGTTTATCCACTAATGATGCTGCTAATAATATTAGCAATAGTGCTGCAGTCAATACAATTGTATCTGGAGCATCAGCGTCACGTGAAGCAAACGGAAATTCAAATTCTGGCTCTTCCTTGAAAACAGTCGTATCAACTGCATAGCGGAGTAAATTATCAACGAAGAGTGAACATTGAATCTCGTTTTAGGTAGGTGATTTGTACTTTTTAATAAATCTAATGTAACGTGATGTAACTTTTGTCACATTCTTATTGTCTTTCACGATTTAAATGAATCTCACTTTCTGTTACAGATTCTTCGTACAGAAAATTGATGACGTTAGATGACTATGCAAATTGGACGTTACATTTTGGTATCCAAGTACTAGAACTGCGAAGAATATGGTACTGAAGCAATGTCTGCTAGATATTTCACTATGTAACGATAGCATAATATTCGTTAACGAATGAACCGTGTTAATTTATGTTTTGTATTGTACTTATGTTTTAAATAACTATGTTACAAGTACATACGTAATAAACAAATATGTTATTGCACTATATAGTGCAACTTGTTACTGTTGTTGAGATTAATGAGATATTATTTAGTATATTATATATATTTTATTTACAATGTAGTTTTATAATCAAATGTGTCGAAATATATTACGATGTTCATTAAATATGTCTACGTTCTTTAAAATATAATTTAATTTCCTTAACAGAGTCTCTAAACAACGCCAATTTTTTTCAAGATCATATTTCGTTTATAAAATCTGGCAAAAAGTTAAGACTGAATGATACGATTATATTTCTTGTTTCATAATAAACATAAGTCTCAAGGAAGAGACTTGTAAGTAAGTGTGATACCAATCTTTCCATTCACCTGATGTCCATCCTGTTGCAAACGTTACTCGTGTGATATTCTTTTCTAAAAACAGTTATAATCATCAAACTATGTGTAACGTGTTTAACAATTCTCTTCAGCAACGTGTTTCTTTTCTTTATAATTTATAATATTTTCTACGTTAAATTTAAAAAATTCCCAAGTTTCTAAATTTTTCAAGTTATTTCAAAATGAACAAGTTCCCACATGGGATCTTCGAATTTCCAAACAGAAACTTACCAAAATTCTTCCAAGAAACGAAATGGAGAACTTATTTCTTATTTCCAAAACTTCTTTATTAACATTTACGATTACGTCAGTAGATACATTCTGCTTACTCCATTTTTACCGTTATCTCAAAACATTACGAAATATTTGTATTATACAAAGACCCTCAAGGAATGACCCACTTCTCTATAAAATCACCGACTGAATAAAGATAAGTTTGGGATAAGAATCACATATCAATAAGATTATCGATGGTGCAGCGCAAGGTACAAGGTAAAGTGAAATTAATTAATATGTACTTATACACGTATGAACCTCGAGGTTATACATCAAGATCGTAGGCGACACGCATGTCATCGCGGCTCATTATTGCGAGGCGTTCTGCATCGTCTCGTTCCGATTGCCGGTCACATAATTAGCAAAGCGTTCGCGTAACGGCCGTCTGACCAACACTGACGGCAGATGCGCTTCGCAATCACGCTCGCAGTCATCCTGAAACCATCGGTCAGTATAGTGCCCGTGACACGTTTTATATCGGCCAATGATATCTCGACCTGTTCTCGATCGGGTCACAGCACACATTACGACTTCCTCGGCAGAGCCAGCCAGTCGTGTCGGACAAACTGGAACGAAACGACGAGCCTGTGGCATCGTCGGTGTTCATTTTACACGTCGGTCAGTTTACAAACCGCTCTCGACAACTTTCGAGCGGCAATCGAGATATCGAACCGAAGATATGCCGCTATCGCAAATATTCCACCGATAACTGACCTCGTCGACCAACGGACATCTTCACCGATGTTGAACTTTCGACGATCTGACGTCGATTGATTGGATCAACGAAACTGTTTAGACTCGCAGTCAAACTCCGGCTGGCAAAAATAACGGTTGTCATACAGGAAGACAAAATGTGGTCCGTTCTGCTAATTTTGGCAATAACCGGCGCTATGGGAGAGGTGGTCAATCGTCACGTGGACAACGTGAGTATACAATTAATTTGAAAAATAATTGTTGAAATTCCTCGAGAGGTACTTATGGTTTATTCCATCGATGTTGATTGGAGTATAATTATCTGCTTGAACTAATATTTTATTTACTCGATTTTAACAACTGAGCTTGATGTTTCGTTGAATATTTAATTTAAAATGTTTCGATAACAGTAAACCGACATATAATGTGTACTTAATTTGAAATGAAAAATAAATAAACAAAACATAAATTAGTACACACATGTATTCTTTATTTTTATGGAAATCAATGCTGATTTTAAGGAATGTTAACAAAATGTGTACCAAATAAGAAACTTGTGGAGCGATCATTTGACCAGTTTGGTAGTTTTAATGTTAGAATTGAATTCATGTCGTGTTTAATTTATAGAAATGATGTTCTAAGTATTAAAGTAACCCTGTGTTTAAATATTTAGAAATTGAAATTACATTTCGGCAAACAGAATGTTTTTGAAGCTAAATATGTTTATGTAGATCTATGGCTATTGAATATTGGCGGTCTGCAGACCCCTTGCAAGTTTTCAAAATTATCAGAAGCTGAGGAGCTCAGATATCGTAGTATGATTTCTTTATATCAGCGTTATTTTAATAACAATGTGAAAATAAGTGCTATTAATAAATGTTATTGTAACAAGATAGAATGTAACTGGTATGAAATGAAGGAGGTATTAGAACTTAAATTCTCAAAGAAATAATCGTAACATTTAATGCGCTGCACGTATTAGTGAATATAGTAGCTTGAAGCGTGAAATTTAGTGAGTTAAATTGATTAACAAGATCAGTAACCTAATCAGAATTGCTGAGTAGGATTAAAGTGTGTTCATTCTGAAGATAGACTTAATTTTTAACTTTGTTATCAATCAAATTTAAAAAGTATTGCAGTTATGAATTTCTCAGTCATTTCTTTTTAACGAAGCCGTTGAAAACCTTGAAAATTCCTTGTTTTGTACGAAAACCTTGAAAATTCCTTCAGAAGCATTTTGCAATTTCAGAGCACAGACGTAAAATTTGGTTTCGAAGTCGATTATACGAACAATCAATTTTTACTCGATGGAAAACCGTTCCGATACGTTTCTGGTAGTTTTCACTACTTCCGGACGCCGAGGCAATATTGGAGAGATCGTTTAAGGAAAATGAGAGCTGCTGGTTTGAATGCCGTGTCGACGTGAGTCAATATTTTCGTATGCACAGATTTAAATTCGTTTGTACGCGTTGCTATTTATAGTCATAATACAGTCGGACCTTGGTAAAAGTCAAATCTTTCAAATTATGTAGTTACGTTGAATGGAGTCTTCATCAACCGGAGGAGGACCAATGGGAGTGGACAGGTGATGCGGATTTAAAGAAATTTATCGAGATTGCTCATGAAGAAGATTTACTGGTTCTTTTGAGACCGGGTCCTTATATTTGTGCGGAAAGAGATTTTGTAAGTATTTTCGAGAAAACAAATGATTTTTTACCCTTTTGCTGTGTGTAATTTTTACCATTTAATATAACTATTATTAGAATGTAAACTTCAGAAAAAAAAACAAGTAGAAAAACTTGTTTTATTATAATTATTAGAATGTAAACTTTAGAAAAAAAAACAAGTAGAAAAACTTGTTTTATTATAATTTATTATAGTTCCACAGTAAGTTACTCCTTTTATCGTTAAAATTTAATTAAACACATAAAAAGATTAACTTATTACTACGGCAAGTTTATTAATTTTACTGCCCAGTAATAGTAAATAATACTCAAACTAATATTTCTAAAAATTATTTTAAAATTACTCATAAGTCTCGTAAATAGAATTTACAAATTCTAGGAAAATATTTTTAAATTTCCTTTCGCACATTATATTTTCAGGGAGGTCTTCCGTATTGGTTATTGCCACGTGTACCGGTCGACGGACTACGTACAAACAATGAACGTAAGAATATTTCAAAATGTCTTTCGGAATGTGAAAAGGGATATGTCGCAGAATATACTGAAAACAAGTTACACTCTTCAGCTTTCGATATTCGTGTCGCGTAACTATCAACATTTTTTACATTTAAATTGCTTCGTTATCTTACAGAATACATGCAATACGTGGAAGTGTATCTGAACGAAGTACTAGAACGCGTTAAACCGTATCTCAGAGGAAATGGGGGTCCCATAATAATGGTTCAGGTATATCTTTATTTTAAAACTGTGTTCGCAATTTTATTTGGTCGACTAATTAACAAATTTTTAATTTCGATATTTAGGGAATTGTTCTTCGGATTTTATGAAGAATTTGTCCCTTCTTAAAAATTTATCCGTATTTATCTTATAAAATGAATATCTTTCAAATTAAATTTTATAAAATTCGTCTTATTAAAATTAAAAAGGGTTCATTTTATGAAAATGCCCAACGATTTTAGGTAGAAAACGAGTACGGAAGCTACGGTTGCAGCATGGAATACAAGACTCATCTGCGGGATATAATAAGTGCAAAAGTTGGAACAAAGGCTTTGTTGTACACAACCGATGGTACGGAGGATACTATGCTTCGTTGTGGATCTATACCAAATGTTTATACCACCATCGACTTCGGAGCTAATAGCAATGTGAGGAAAAATTTTGAAATGCTCCGCACTCATCAGCCACGTGTAAGTACCATCTGATAACGAAATACATTATGACTTTGTAAATAACATTCTTTCTACAATAAACACTTGTTGATTATTAATCTCAAGTGGAACAGCTGGTCTTTAATCAATGTTTTATTAATCAAATTTCATTTTTAATTGCCACGAACATTATCGGTTTGATTGTTTAGTAGTTCACTCTCATAATTATTTTCAAGTTTTTAAAAACAGGCTGATCATTATCATTTACACGATAATACATCTTGAAATTTTAGATATGTTGCATATTTTAATTTTCTAGTTTTCTAGTTTTCTAGTTTTTTAGTTTTTTAGTTTTTTAGTTTTTTAGTTTTTTAATTTTGTAATTTTCTGATTTCCTAAATTGCAAAGTTCCGTTTTCTAATTGAAAATCTTGTTTCAGGGACCGTTGGTGAATTCCGAATTTTACCCCGGTTGGCTGTCTCACTGGCAAGAACCATTTCAAAGGGTAAAAACCGGAGTAGTCACCAAAAGCTTAGACGAAATATTGTCTATGGGTGCATCAGTCAACATATACATGTTTTATGGCGGTACAAATTTCGCTTACACCTCTGGTTAGTTATTATTAAATTTCTATCAACTAGCAATACTAATTTCTACGATATTAAATCACAGTCACGATTCCACAGGTGCTAATGGCGATAGAAACATGTACAATCCACAATTAACTTCCTACGATTATGATGCTCCATTAACGGAAGCAGGTGATCCGACGACAAAGTATTTTGAAATTAGAAACGTCATCTCTAAGGTATTATAAAAAAGAATTATAATAAACCAAAAACATATGCACATATCAATTGCATGACGTATTAAGAATAAATAATGTATTATTAAAAATGAATTTATTAATATAAATTCTTTAATTCATTAATATTAAAATAAATTATATTATAATTTTTTTGTATTCGTTAAGCCGTTGTCTCATGAAAGTGAAAAGTAGCACATCAAGTTTTTTTAAAGACTCATTTATCTCAATTCTCTCATTTCCGTTATAATAAGTAACTCGCTTTTTACAGTATTTGCCGCTGCCAAATACATCAATTCCATCAGTATCCCCCAAAGGAGATTACGGTTCCGTTCTCCTTTCTCCAGTAGTGAAATTATTAGAACCCTTGGGTGAAGGATTGTTTTCAACCGTAGCAGTGGAAGCACCAGAGCCGTTGACATTCGAAACAGTTGGACTACCTCATTATCTAATGATCTACGAAACCACTTTACCGTCTACTATTTCGGATCCTGCGATCCTGAGTGCTATAGTTCGAGACAGAGCGTTGGTCTACGTTGATAATTATCTGTTTGGAATCTTAAGTCGTACCAGTGAAATACACAGCTTGAACATAAACCCTTATGGACGGAAACTGAAGCTACTGGTTGAAAATCAAGGCCGTTTGAATTTTGGACATGGGCTTTACGATTATAAGGTGGGTCACTGAGGACCTGAAATTTTTCATAAAAACAGAGAACACATTTAGGAATTGAAAAATTTTTGATAGAAACAGAAAACACAGTCAGTAAAATTGTACATCTCTTCCCCTTTAAAAATGAAAATATCAATAGAAGAACTTCATAACACAAGTAGCTAAAGACATCCTTATGATTTCTTTTTCTGTATCATTAAAAAAAATTAGCTTTACTACTGACATATACCTAAAAATAAATGTCCCTTTCTTCCAATCAAATGTTTATTTTATTTATTCGTCTTTTTACAGGGAATCTCGAACGTAACTTTTGGAGACGCTACGCTTGGACCCTGGAGAATGGTTGGATATCAATTAGACGACATGAGTGGGGTTAGCGATCTCGAAACGATCACGATAGAAAATGGATTTCTTCGTAACGGTCCAGTAGTTCTTCGTGGAAATTTCTCTGTCTCCGGTGAACCGATGGACACGTACTTGAACACATTCGGTTGGGGCAAAGGGGTGGCTTTCGTGAACGGGCACAACTTAGGTCGATACTGGCCGGTGTCTGGGCCTCAAGTGACCTTGTACGTTCCTGCACCGTTTTTGAAAACGGGTGAAAATGAATTGATAGTGTTGGAACTTGAATACGTACCGAACACGAGGAAAATGAAGTTACAACCTCAACCGATCCTCGATTATAAACCAATACTCGAGCAATGAGAACGTTTAATTGTTCCTTTTGTTACAGAAATCTATTTTCTACGTGTACTTTTTAAGAAAAATAAAGTATGAGTTATTCCATTCCAAATACTGCGTTCCCTTTATTATCTATGTACGATTTAAGTTTTACATTCTTTTGTACATTCGTTATACTTTATTAATTATACCCTTCGTTATACTCTTTTAAAAATTAGAAGCGTCGCAACTTTAATGTAGCTTCGAACTGTTCTACGTATGATTTTATGTAAATAACGCTTACAATTATCGGTAATCGTTATCGGTAATTAATCGGTCTCGTTTCACAGGTGACTGATAAAAATTGTATCGTAACACGTTTACACTGCGATCATGTTCATTTCGGATAATGTACAGGTATCCAAGAAGTCCAGGAATAAATTGTAGGAAATTGCAAGTGGTTTTTGCTTGCGTCGTCAAATCTGATCGCACTCATTGTTGACACTTTACTTTCCATGTTTGAGTAATTAACAGCACTTCCAATTGTCATATCAGGATCGTGGGACCGTTCGTGCGATCGTAAATTACTGATTAAACAAAACTGTTTTTTGCATGTGGTACAGCGATATGGTCGATTACCTGGAAAAGGAAAACAATCTGTTATTGTTCTTTATATTATATAATCTGTTTATTTTTTAACCTTGGGGTGAGGACACTCGTTGGTACCAAAAATCAACTACTAAATGAAGATTGCTAAGTGATAAATTGCAAGGTTTTTTAAGAAATGTATACATCAATTTTATCATCCGATTTTTGAAAATAATAATCCTGAAACTCCACTTTGTCCAAAAATTGACAAAAAGTAACTTAGTCCACAATATTTGTTTGGACCTGAAGAAATATTGAGCCACAATATTTGTTTCAACCACAAGAAATATTGGACCACAATATTTGTTATTTTAAACCAAACAAGATTATATTGGCACCTTTTTGTATCGATTAAAATGAAAGAAATAAATCACCGTAGAAAAATCTTAATTAAAATATTTCTCGCATGAATATTTTTTAGGATTAATACTTATGAAAAATTAAGGGTTCAACAAATTACATTGTCAACGATGCTTACCAGTGTGTAGCTGCATATGATGATGTAAAGCTCCAGGTTTACAGAATCCTCGATTGCAAATCAAACACCGCATCGGCCAGTTACCGTTATGGGAATATCCGTGGGCCCTTAAATCCCCGGGGGTTGGAAAAGAACGACCGCATTCATTGCATTTATGGGGTTTTTCCTACGTACACGTATTCTATTATTCTAATACAATATATGCATATTATTCTACTAATACAATAAGTACTCATATAATATTTGAATGATACAAAGTTTTGACTGCAATATTCATTTCTATACATTCCACAAACTATAAATATGAAATAAAAATTTGTGTCGTGAGAATAATGAAAGTAATCGGCTGCGTGAAGACAGGTAGATACGTCACATATTTACAGTTATCTTAAAGAACCCCTTAGACTCGCTTTGAAAGCAAAAAGTATTTCAAGGGATTTTACAATATAGTGTCTACGTAATAACCTACCTCTTTCTCAAGTTAAAATGGTGGACGTGCATTTAAGGCAAAGCAAATAATAATGCAATTAAAACAGGCAACAATATTAATTTTGAAATGAACAAGATAAAAACCTTATAATGAGTCATTCGATGATAATACAAATTGGACGAAGCTGTAAAACGTTTTCCACAAATAGGGCATTCGTGTGGACGTTCTCCAGTGTGGATTCTGACGTGCGTGTTCAAGGAACTGCTTGTACTGAACATTTTCCCGCACACTGTACAACCATGCGGTTTTTCGCCTATTCAAACGCATATTTGTATTATATTTTTAAGTTGTATCGTACATTGTATATTAAAATTGTATCGTACATTGTATATTAAGATTGTATCGTACATTGTATATTAAGATTGTATCGTACATTGTATATTAAGATTGTATCGTACATTGTATATTAAAATTGTATCATACATTGACTACTAGGAAAATTGTAACATGCTATGTACCGCCATTTTCAAAGGATAAAATCATTCTAAAATATTTCACGTTCAGTAAATTGCAAATTTAAAATTTACAATAAATCATTTTTGTTAGTACATAGATTGCAAATTCGAAATAGAATTAAAAATTAATATGAACTGACCTGTATGAGTTCGAAGATGTCTTTTGAGCAAAGAAGGTCTGTCAAAGCTCTTGCCACACGTCTGACATGGCAAACATCTTTGAAACTTCGAAGAACTTATTAAGCTTAACTTCTTCTCGGATCCGCGACAGCTCAAATCTAGAGGCGCATCTTGCACTACTCCACATGCTGCATATTCGGTTAAATTGTAATAAATATAAACATATTCTCAAATTTATAATTGATGATTGGTGTCTAAATCTGTATTAATATTTGATGTACACTTCGAATTGTGATCTTACTAAAACTAACTCAAAGTCTTTGCACTTTGATTTTTTGAAGAAATACTTCAGTTATTTTTTGCTAATATAGTAACTATTAGTTTGTAACTAATGGGAAAGTTGATAGAAACAAACGAAGCGTGTTCTAATTAATAAACACCAAATTTATTTTTATGTTAAAATAGTAACTATAAAGTTGGGAATTAATAGGAAATTTTTATCAAAGTAAACTCATGTTCTAATTGATGAACTTTTAGAAAATTCTAATTGATGGACAGCGTAATTTTTGTTACAAAACAAATTTTGAAAATTTTTGAAACAAAACTGACAGAAGTTACTGAATCTCTTTCATATTTAAATTAAAACAAATGTATGACCCATACTTGGAAAAAGAAGGATTAAAAACGTCAAACTATTTCTTGAAATAATTATTCAAAAAACTTGTATCCTTAAATATTTGACCCTTACCGGACATCACAATTTTTTCAACGTTCTCAAAATGATAAAAAAAAATGCACAAAGAACACTAACAACAAAATTTCTCGCACTTGGTCGATGGATCTGGACATGAAGAAGGATAAGCCCGAATTAGATACTCACCACCCCAAACAGATTATAAAGGCGATTACAGGTGACAAAGGGGGTTGTAACCACGAAGGCGCATGTCAGAAGGCGGCGTTTTTACCGGAGGGCGGAGTTATCTTTTGACTTTTGATGATACACAACATCGCAATAAATAGACACGTTACTCAACATACCTTACATACAACTAACCTACTTCTCTATGAATATGGAACCCCATTATCTGCTAAGTTTATTAAAAAAGCAGTTAAACATTTTAAGGACAGTAATACTTGCGTGAAGTTTTCATACGCGCTTTAAAACTAAAAGTTATTATATTTTGGCAAAAGTAAGTTTCATATCACTATGATCAGTGAACAGTTACAAATACATATTTCAAGATCTTCAAGCAAGTCACTACGACATCGTATTATTGTAATTAAAAAATAGCGGAAACGCATTTTACATATGACCTTATTAATGGAAGATGTAACCCCTCAAAGTTTACGAGACTTCATCAATATCTTTCTGAAGTTTATTTGACATTAATGCACACTTATTCTGAAATTAAAAATGAACTTGCAAAATGAATAAATAGATGGTAAAATGAATTAATATACACATTAATTATTTACCTTCATGAATGATTCTAAAGAAATTTTGTAAGTGAACATAAAAAACTTGTAAAAGGGTTTTGGTAGTTTTAGTGTTGAAACATGATACCGAGATTGGGGAAGATTTCAATTTTATAATATGGAGGCCCGTTGAAGAAGAATTCTCTTATGTGCAGAATTCTTCATGCGTTGTTATATTCATACCATGCTCAGCTAAATTATCCACTAAATTATCTAGCAATTCCTACGTTCTCGAGTAATTACATTTGCAAATCCCTATATTCCCAAATTCTTGCATACGCAAATTGCAGCAGCCCCAAATCGCTATATACGCCAATTCCTACATCTCCAAACCTTTATGCTCCTAAATCTCTATGTCCCCAAATTTAGTTATTGCAGTGGATTTTCGTATAACTTTCGCTAAGTCCACAATTTCTTTCACACATTTTATTTACCGATGAAGCTGCGTTTAAAAAAGACAATTTTCATAACAACACATGTGAAGAGAAGAAACCCCTCGCGTAATTATTTAAATAAATCAACCGAGTAATATAATAAAGCATCGGTTTTTGTTGAATATATGGACGGATACGATAAACTACTTGCATCTTTTATTTTAGTATCGGATGTATTGTCTCGTAATTTCCTAATGGACACAATGAAACTTTTCTATTTTATTCGCTTTTCTTTCGTTATCAATCTATACGACTTGTTATAAAAGAAGCAAGAATTCGCGGACTTTTTTCTAGAATTATTAATGTGCTGTCCCATATCGTACCATCTATTACTTCATCGTACCAACTGGTACCAAGGATGTTAATAGTCCCATACTCCCACGTAAAGTAAAAGTCATGCATACAAATCCTGTAACATTTTTCGTATACGTATACTAACAATTTGATAGAAATTTAAAAAATTAAACATTGATAGTATTCAATTTTTATTTACCTGCAAACACTACAAATTAAATAATCTGTCAAATAAAACGCGGTTGAAACAAATAAAAATTTAAAACTTTGTGAAATTGAGAAATTTTGTGAATAAGTATATAAGTAGTATTAATAATGTTATTTGTAAATGTTTGTTATCATAAGGTAGCAATGAAACGCGTTGTTTGTAGTAGAATGACGTTTAATTACATCACTTGAACGATACGTTTTCGTCCGTCGACAGTAATGCGTTGTCACGATATTGACGATTTTTCACAGTATTCAACCGGAGGTGAGATAATTTGTCGTACGGCATCGGGACGCCGGACGTCCCACAGCGTCGTTCCCTCGTTTGTCACCTGAGAGGATATTAACACCATTGAAGTCTCCTCTGAATCATTACAAATCGCTCCTTCATCGACCACGCGCAACAATGCTTCGATTTACCTTGTGTACGACATTACCGCAGAAGATCGATTTCGAAGGGAATCGCGAACGACGTACCACAATTTTGTGCTTGTAAATTTAGGGCGGATTTAAAAAAAGAATATTGGTTTGGTTATATGGATTTGTGTAATTTATTCGAGTGAAAGAATCTTTCTATTTGTTTATCAGGTATACATATGAACTATAAAAATGTTTTTCTATGTTAAACATATAATCAATTGTAACTTTAAAAACTGAAACGGAATTATTTACTCTGATTTTGAATTTAAAATAAAAAAAGACGTATTCTGAATCTTCGAACATATTCTCACTATATGTATAAATAAAATAAAGCTGACATATATTTGTAAAAAAAAGTAACGTTCGTTAAATAATACCTTGATTCTTATTTTATTGTACACCTAATATTATATATGTAAATATTTTCTACGATTTGTTTGCTCGTATGAAAAAGTTAGAATATCATTTCTTAAATGATAAAACAACATATCACAGTTTTATATAGCATCGGGTGTTTCCGTTTTATCATCTTTTATTCCGTCAACAGAGTTTGCATCTTGCCCTTCGCTTTTCGAACATTTCTCATCGTTGTTAGTATTATCGATTTCCGCAGAATTTTCCTTCTCTGTAGCATCCGGTGAATCGTTTGAATTTTCCACTTCTGTATTACATGCAGCGTACTGCGCTGCCTGTGCTTGCGGAGAGGTATCGAATTTTAAAATTTCACGCAGTGCCATTGTCGCGTACGTAGAAGACTTTAAGGACATTTCGATAATTAAAGCTTTATACTGTCCTTCTGAAAATGTTAAAATTTTATTTAAAAATAAATATTCAGTGAAACAAATGAATTAAACATCAGTTATAATTTTTACCTGGTTCATCTTTTGGTGGTGTCGACTTTCTCATTTCATCAATATCACACATGATAAGATCACTATGTTTTTCTTTATAATGCATAATTTTCCATGATAAATTTGATGGGATTTGTAATATCTTTCTGTAAGTACCTCCCAAACTATATTTTCTGAAAGTGAAGTTGACAAAATACAAATACTTGTATTAGAGGAATCAGTATACAGAACTATTTTCCAACAAACTTACTTATTCTTTTGTCTAAGGTCTGTTGTGAGTCCGTCTTTTGCTAAGAACTCGTCGAACCAAGGTTTAGCATAAGGTGGATACGTAACTTTCCACCCAACTTGTGGCATCAGTACATCTGCCAATGTATAGTTAGGCAAATCTTCTTCCTTAAGAATTTTTACTGGAGAGAGATTATATAAATCTTCGCATTCACTTTCCTCGGTAGTAGTTTTACTTTTCTCTGTATTTTCGTCTATTTTCAAACAACTTTCTGTAGCACTTGTTATTTCTTTAATTGAGGTAGACGTTGATTCTGTAGATACTTCGGTTGCCTCGTCCTCCTTTACTGAATTTGCACAGGATTCATCTTCTAATTTATCCGTATTTTCATTAGACTCTGCAGTATCTTCAATCACGCGTTCGTTGTCGTATACAGCTTCATCATGGTCTCTTTGCTGTGTATTATTTTCATATACTAAATCTCCTACTATAGGTTTCGTTCCAAATTCTTTGATTCTTCTCGATACCATGTGGTTCCAGACGTAACTTTGATACGCGTGAATATACATTAACCGAGTATTTCTTGGTACTGAATCTAGAGCTCCTTGGGGATTGTTATTTCCAGATGTATAAATTCCTTTTAAAAGAGCAGCTTCTATTTTATCGGATCTTTTAATCTTTTTATATGCAGCATATGCATCTTTAGTCATTTCATATATTCTTCTAGCCTCTACTAAATCTCTATCTTGTTCCCCTTCTCTTGGTTTCAAAATTAATTCAATTGCTTCATTCCATTTACCTAATTTTAACACATATAACACATATTCTTGAATAATAATTTAGTAATTGAACTGTATATAAAATTATAGACAGTTTGAAAAAGATTGTATCGTCGGAATCTTTCAAATTCAAAATATAATTACCCTGAAGTAAAGTTTTGCCTATTTCATAAGTTGGAATGGCAGCTACAGTACCAAATCTTTGTAGACCATAATAATTAATAAATCCCTGGTCTCTTAAAGAGGTCATTGTTTGCTCAATTTGTTCATCTGTTCCACTGACATTTCTCAAAGCAATTCTAAAATGATTACCACTAAGCATTCCCAATTTCAAAGGTTCTTTCACAAACTTAAAATTCCCTACATATGCTCCACGTACACATTTTGCTGCTCTTAATATATCTGATGGTTCCACTTTTCTTAAACTAACCCACTGAGTAGTCCAAGCCCTACGATCTTTCATGCCAGCATAATTAAAATTATTTGGCTTCATACGTAAGTTCATAGCTAACTGATTCAAAGCATCCATAGTATCCATATTTACTTTGTGCAACAAAAAATAACAATATTCTCCATCCCTGTTTTTCCAATCTTTACGATTGTCTCTGTGAAATATTTGACCTAGTAGAGAAAAATAACATTAGTATACTATGATAACCATTATTGCAGGGACAAATGTTTAACATACAATCTCTATTATCCTTTTTACGAGGCAAAATCATCATAATTTTCTTATTATCTTTATCTATGGTTTGACTAACAACATCTGTCACTTTTTTAGCAATTGCATGAATTGCTCTACGTTGATCTTTATCCACATTTGTTACATCAATTTCTATGGATGATGTTTCTACATCTTTTAAAGTCTGTAACTGATCCCATATTGTATCTGGGACAGATGATTTTAAATCTTCCAGATTTTCATTATCTTCTGGTTGTGGTGGAATATCTTGATTAGTTAACTTAGCTATCTCTCCGTCCAAAGCAATTTCATTGACATGAAAATCTGTATATCGTTCTTTAATTACACCAGAAAATCCCTGATCACCAATATATTCTGTAATACTAACATCGGATTCTCTTAACCGATTTCCAACTTTCAGCTTCTTTCTTCCACCATCCTGTTGAAAGTTTGACCAGTTACGCTTAAATGGCTTTCGACCAAAATTATCATTTCGATATCCTTTTAAAATAAAATCAGATAAAAAAAATTGATTACTCTTTTGTACATACATAATTTTAAACAATTAGCAATAGAATCTTACCAGCGTGATATGAACCACGATTTCGTTTATAGTTAGAATTTGCTCGCCAATCTTTTTTAAAATCTCTATGATATTTTTCACGCGTGCTATCTGCTTCAGGCCCGCATGCAAGTCCACTGTTTTTAGAACTATTTTCTGAATCAGTAGCTTTATTTGCCATTTCGGACATTGCCTTTTATTTAAATTCAATATAGAATTCAATTAGCTTTTACTTTGTTGCTTACAAATCTTTTTTCTTTTCGAAATTCTGAAAGTAACCGGTTCAATTTAGTTACAGATACACGTCTATACCAACTTGATGTATTTACAGAGCCATAACCAAATCGACAACACGTGCTACACAGTGTTTCTCAACCAAAAATATACTTCAAATATAATATATATAATGTATGTTCCTATATTTGTAATTGCGAATAAAGTTATAAAAATATAATTTATTAATCAAAAAGATTCATTTTAATAAATGTGTATTCATTAAGTTATAAGTAATTATTTATAATTGATATATTAATATATCGAAAGAATATTTTTATAAATTATATAACAATTTTTTCTACGTTATTTCGTATTCGTATGGAGTTAAATTTAAAATAAATTTGAGAGATTAAAGAACAATCGACATACATTGACAGTACTTGTAAATGTATGAGCCATATCTATATAGATATAGCGATGTTCCTGCCTGTGTTGTAATTGCAACATTTGGTTGTCACAAAACTTGAATGGGATTCATTATCGTTAAATAAGATTTCTTCCGGAAGATTTTATACTTAACAACTTCAAAATGATCATTAAGAAAATAGTAACACCTAATATCTTCCATAAAGTGAAACAGCTAGGTAAGTTGCGTTTAAAATTTGGAAAGATATGTAAATTCCTACTCTTTACATAATCTTGATTGACTATTTTTGCTAACATTGAAATAACCTTATTAGCACACATTTGTTATACGTTTTACTCGATGTTATGCTATTTAATTTATTATATTATAATAAAAGATAGAATGTAAAATGCATGTACAATAAAATAAAATATTTATTTATAAAATTAATTTCAATTTGTTGGATATGTATATCAATTTATGTTATGTTTCAAATACTCATGTAGGAAGTAGCAATGTAAATGACTTTATCTTTACAGAATCACTTTCTAAAACTACTCTTTTTGCAAACTCGTGTAAACCACCTCAGTTTGGCAGAACATCAACAACCCTTACAAATTTTAAACAATGTTTAAATTCTAATGCTACAAAACATGAAATTAAGTACTGTTTGACAAAGGTAATTTATTACATTAATATTTTTTTATTTCAATTATTTCTACAAACTTTAATATCATAAATGTTGTTTTTGTAGTTTCCAGTCAATGGAACTGTTAGTACTCAATTTAATCGAAAATCAAGTGGAATTACTGGTGATCATGTACGTCTCTGGGTTTTTGAAAAAATTGCCTCAGCTGCACTTCCTATTGTAATTCCTGCTGCATTAATGATGGAAAATTCTATTCTGGATGGACTAATGTCTGTTCTAATTGTAATGCATACGCATTGGTAAATATTCACTTTTATATCTTAATGAGATTTTTTATAATAAGCTTTCACATTAATATTTAGATTAATATATAACTCGGCAATGTAATCCTGTTACACTATAATCTTTCTTTTAATAGGGGTCTAGAGGCAATGGTTACAGATTACGCACGTCCTATTATCCTTGGACCAGTATTACCAAAAGTTTTGCACATTTCATTAATAATCCTTTCAGCAGTTACACTTTGTGGATTGTTCGTACTTATAAATGATGGTCCTGGTGTTTCACGGGCTATTAAAGATTTTTGGGCTATTGGTAAAACACCACCAAAGAAGGAGGCATCTGCTGAGGAGTAATTGTAATTTTAACACTTTAATAGATGATTAATTTAGGTACTTTATAATCATATTGTAAATTATTTCAGAATAAATTCTTTATCCTTAAAGATGTATAACATTCTTTTATTTCATAGATGTATAAAAGATATATAAAGCATAGAATTAAATGATTTGTAGAATTATTTAATCACCACATAACTGAAAAAAGATTTATTTATTTAATAACAGTGTAAAACAGAATAAGTACAATATTCACATTTACCATGTAATACATTGGTAATATAATTTTTACAACATACTGATTTTACATACATTATTATTTTTAAGAAACAACTTAGAACTCATTCAGTTATTACATAATTTAAATTTTACTTTTCATCTGATTTAGCAGCTTTATCTATGAAAGTTGCAAGTTTAATATCTCTTTGTGATAGACCATTCACATCATGAGAAGACAAAGTGATATTTACTTTATTGTAAACATTAAACCATTCAGGATGATGATCCATTTTTTCAGCTTGTAATGCTACTCTGGACATAAAACCAAAGGCCTAAAAATGTAGAAGAGAAATATATTTTCTACAAGTAAATAAAACAAAGAATTAAATTTTTTTAAGCTAGCTTATACCTCATTAAAATTTTTAAATAGGAATTCTTTGTATATGGCATCTCTATTTTCTTGAACAGACCAACCATTTGTTAATAATGGTTTTAAGTCATTCTCTCTTTGTTCTTGAGTAAGCTTCCCCTAAAAGTAAAAGATTTTTATGAATTTTATGTCTAGTTACATTCTATTGAAAATAAGTAGTAATTTATTGTAAAATATTTCTTTTACATAGGTCATAAACTACTATTTAAAAACGAAATAACATTTTAAATAATTAGTTAATTAGAATTTTAAGAAAATCTTAGAGTGAAGTATTTCATAAAAATATACGAAAAAAAATAAATTTTAAAACATAAAAACGGAATATTTTCATCATTTCATTAATCAAGCATAAATTTTACGTAATGTAATTTTTCAGTGATGTAGTTATTGATCTGTAACTTCTATCACTATTTTTTTTTTAATCTCAACCACTTGTTACGCCCAAACCACGGGAAAATCGTCTGTACACGATATACATATTTTAAAATTTATTTTTTTATTGTAAACAACAGAAATTACATATTGAACTAAAAATGACTTAAAATGGTACAAAATTTAAATGAAAAACATTCACGAAATAGTTAAAATCTATTCAGTAGAAATAAATTCTCAATCGAGGTATGTTGATAATTTTTTTTGTATCACTGTACAATACTAGATATTCCTTTAATATTTTATATTATACATTTATCACAATAAACTTACCATTGTCTTTTTTTTTAAACCAGGAGCAGATATGCTTCTTCGATTGAAAATCTGGAATATTTTCTCCCGAAGAATCCCCCCACCATTAATGTAACGCATGCGCGTTAAAGTAGCCATGAAACTTTCCTTTTACTTGATTGCGTCGCAAAATTTATGTATCAATTAATTAATGAATATGTAACGATAATGCAATAAGTGATTGCTAAAGACTTTACATCCACGAACTGTTTACTAAAAATTTAAAATAAATGGATTATAAAATTGCAAAATGTATTTATGAATGAAAACTAAATTTGTATATGTTACGATCATAACCTAACCTAACCAATTCGTTTCATCCCGTGAATTTATATGAAAATATTAAATAATACTTTACCATTACAAATTAGTAGACAATTTCTTGGTTTCACAGTTAAAAACATTACATATACACTGTATATGACTTGTAAGGATCAATGCAGTTATTTGGAAGTTAACCTCGCATATACAAAATACGACTCGCAAAATTAAAAGTAGATTTATTTAAAATTGTTACAGCTTTTGCTTACAGATATTTTTTTATTAAATTAGGAATTCTTTATCAAATAATTTGACTCTCATTGTTTTGCTTTAAGCCAATAAAATTAGAATTAATTTGATTTTTTCGAAAATGGAACATGTGGCGCCATCTCTCCGACGAACAGGGTGAACTACACACTTTTGAAACTACAGTTTCATTAGTTCCCTCATTCTACCGCTAGATGGCGACGTTTAAGATATTTTAAAAAAAAGCGCAAGTTTTCATTTGAATAGTTCAATGCGTGATCACTAGATAGCGTTAACAGCATCGTTTCGACCCGCGAAAACACGTTTGAAATAAACATAAGGATGCAGCTTCCAAAGCTTGTACACTTATGCACTTCATTTCAATTCAAATTCAAAAACTTCCGACTCATTTAAGATAGAACTGAGCAATAACTTTATCCAAAAAAATTATTAAAAATGTACGCATGTAAAAACTATTAGAGAAATGTATTCGGTAAGTCACTCTACTCGATAGGGCAAATAGCAAAAACACCAGACGCACCATAGACGAAGGAAAATAAAATACACTGAAATAAAATCAATTTAATAAAAAGATCTGGAAGCGGGAGACCCGCTTCAAAATAAACGTACACGTGAGAGATCGATATTATATTTATATTTATAAAATTATTCATCATTAGAAAGCACATATGATCTATCTATATGACGTAATTCACTACGCACACACGCGTACAAGCGTGCCTACGAGCGCACGCACGCACAAAGAGAAAAAAAAAAATACACTCAGAGCCACACGCACACCGTGAAATCATTCATTCCGTAGCGTACGCACGCGTAAGCACACACACGCACACGCATACATACATATGCACAAACAAGCACACATTTGCATACACACACACGCGCGGGCATACATACACACGTATGTGGGCGCGCGTGCC